ATTTAGGCTTTTCAGATCAGAATACACTATTATATAATAAACTAAATATCTTAAACTAATATACTACCATTTTACATCCGTAATTATATTTAAATTAAACATCCCAAACTAATAAATAACCCCACTTCACATCCGCAACCATCCAAAAAGGTCCAATAACACAGTGTATATTTGATTGCCTATGCACACGGTTCACTTAAATATATTTATTAATAAAATAAAAAACTTAATTAAACTTAATTAAAGTTTTTCCTATGCTAAATTTTCAAAAATACCCTCATATAACATCCATAACATATAACTTATAAATTATTTTTTAACCACCATTTAAGTAAGTTTAATAATTAAACATCATAATATTACTATTGTAATCTATCATTGTGTTAACACCTTCCAATATTTTTTTATACTTGACAAACAGTTTACAGTTTGTTAGAATACGTCTTTAACTAGTGTTAAAAGATGGTTTTCTGCTGTTACCCGAGGCGTGCTATAGAGATAGATACTTCCTTTTTCCTCCTAACAGTCTACGTAATAATCCTTTCAGTAAATTTTTTTGATTCTTCCTTATTTTTTACGTAAATATTATCTTTTTCTCAGTGCTATACAGTAAGAGAGTTAAGCAGAGTCAATATTTAAGAGCACTCAATGGCAAGATATGAGCAAGGTTTGCAGATGATGTTGTATTAATCGCAGATAACTTACATGATACAGTTTCTATGATGCATTCGCTTAAAATCTGTCTGAAAGAGCAGGATTAAAGATAAACTTTGAGAAAACTAAACTTATAACAAATCTCACAATGAGTGGAAATGTAACTATTGACAATAATACCATACAACAAACAGACACTTACAAATATCTGGGACACGAAATCAAAATAAGCAGAGACAATCAAACACATGAAATACAGAGGCGAATAGGCCTAACATGCCAGCATTTGGCAAATTAATCGATATTCTAAAAAGTTCAATTCCCATGTGTCTCAAGCGAAAGGTTTATAACCAATGTGTTTTGCCTGTACAAACTTATGGAGCAGAGATATACAATGAACTCAGGGTTACACAATGAGCCATGGAACGTGCAATGCTGAACGTGAGCCTTCGATACCACATAACAAACCAACAAATCAGGCAAAGATCAGGAGTTCAAGACGTCATCGAAAGAACCACGACGCTTAAGTGGAACTGGGCAGGGCACTTAGTCAGAACACAAGATGGACGGTGAACAAGGCGTAATTGGGGCCCAGAAACTATAAAAGAAGCCGAGGACGACCACCGACTAGATAAACCGATGATATAAAACGTTTAGCGGGAAACTGACTACAAGCGGCCCAGTGTAGAGAACACTGGAAAGAACTGAGGGAGGCCTATGTCTAGCAGTGGACGCGATTGGCTGATTGATGATGATACAATAAGCAGTTTTCAAGTTATTTGCGTTTAAAGGTAATGTTTAAAATATATAATCTTATTTTATTGCTAACATTACCCTTTTTCCAAGTCATAACTACGTCACTAATACAGTTATATAATTTAGTATAGTAAGTAATTCAGTAAATTCCATTTCAAATTATTTTTTCATATTGATGTTTCAGTTTATAAAAAATCAGAACCATGATTTTTATTATATGAAAACAATTTTTCTTGGTAAGTTTTCGGATCGAGCTTGTTAATAAAATGATGGTTACATAAGACAAAACTATTGAAAAAATATTTATTTAGACTACTGTAACAATAAATTAATTTAATAAATTTTTAAAGTGGCCTCCACTTATTTCAATAGATTTTTAAATTTTAACAGAAAAATTTCTCCTAACCTTTAGAAATATATAGGGTTGATTTCTAATTAAATTTGCGGCATTCTCTATTTATTCCCATAATTCTTATAGATTATAAATTTCTTGAGGATACACAAGTGTCTTCATATGTCCCCAACAATAAAAATGTAAGGGATTAAAATTAGGACTCCTAGAAGGCCAAGAAAACTAACTTCCTCGCCCTATCAATCTATGAGGAAACTGATTGTTCAAATAATTTCACATCAGCTTGATGACCTCTTCTTTGATTTAATGGCAACTGTTACAGTTCATCAAAAAGAAGTTCCTATTTTGAAGAAATTACAAATACGATTTGCAGTTGAAATTTTGCAGGTAATCTAATGGGACCTTTACTACACCAAATATTTATTGTCCTATCATGTTGAAAGTGCATTTTCTCTGACGGCATGTAGATTTTTGTTATCCCAAATGTGACAATTTCTCCAGTTATAAAAGTCTCTAAATGTGAAAGTGGCTTTATAGTAAAAATAATTTTGTTAACGAAATTGTTATTTGCATTTTGTCCGTAAGAAATTCTACAAATTGCATTTAATAAGGAAGATCATCTGTAAGTAGCAAGTTCTGCCCTGGAATAAAATGGTAAGGTCTTAAATCGCGTTTTTTTAATATTCTGAAAACTTTAGCATGGCTTATTCCAGTTATTCCTGATAAACGTCTGGTACTTAACTGAGGTTCATTAGTAATTCTTACTAACTTATTCTCCTGATATACCTACAACACGCCTCTGGTAACAGCGAAAATCTTTTAACACTAGTTAAAGTATCCTTACATGTGTTAAGTGTTGGTCAAGTTTGATAAAAAAATATTGGAAGTTGTGGATGGAAGGAAGAATGGTGAAAGAACAATGGGCTAAAATCAGTTTAGAATATATGTATGTAATAAAACAGTCTGTATCTCGATAAGGAGAAATACTGTATTTGAGTGTGTTAGGTTAAACATTTTATTTTGTGCTAAGGTTTCTCCAGTAACTATGGACAATTCTTAATGAAACACCCTGTATACCAAATTTCAAGACTCTTAGTATTCTCTATTTGGATTACTAAGCAGAATTATGTCCACTTAAACACCGATGCTTAATATGAGACTTAAAGCTGGATTTTCACAGATCCGATATCCGATGACACGAAATACGAATTTTTTTCGTACGAATATATTTGATTGTCGTATCCGAAATTTTTTGAAATATATGTCATATATCGGGTGGTGAATCATCAAACGGGCCATAGGAAACTCAATGGGAAATTTTAAATTGTTGAATTGCCGCTTCCCTAATTATTTTAGATCAAAAGTCATAAAAAACTATTTGTAGAGGACTAAAATCTGAATTAAAAACAAATGTTAAAACCGTTCTACGAATCAAATGTACTTCAAAATTTTGCAAAAATATAATAGATTTTTCAGACCACCCCTAAAAGTACTGTCACACGTAATACAAGAATATATAACGTGTGTGTTTTATCATATTGATGTCAGATGTTTGACAATTTGAATTGTCTTCTTTTTTGTTTTATGATTAAATTATAAACAATGAATTTTATTAAATACTACTACTACTGAACAATATTACTTTGTGAACAATAAATTATATTGTTTACAAATCGATCAATATAACGAAATATACTTAGTTGAAGAAAAATCGTATAATGTTGTATTCAGGCAATAGCGCGAACCTTTTCCTGTCACTACCGGATCTTTATTTAACGTAAGATATTCTAATACACTAAAATTTAATTCCATATTAAGTTAAGTTATACAACAATTCAATGAATTCCAATATACTGTTACTGTGATCTTTATTCCTCAAAAAAATTTATGATAATTTCTAAACATAAAACTATAACAAATGTTATAATAAAACATGAATAAAACATTTTTATTATTGCTCTTTTCTCCTTAACTGAGTGCATTTTTTAGTCAACTTAATATTTTTTTTAAACAATAAACCACAAAATAAAAATATTGGCAATTTAAATCATAGATAAATATAATATAGTTGATTTAAATATTGTTAAACCCCCTCTGTGGCTCAGTGGTAAGAGCGCCTACCTTTAAACCTAAAGGTCGTGAGTTCGAATCCCATCTGGGTAGAGAAATTTTTGTTTATTAAAAATTAATGAATGAAAATAATTTCTATCCATGTGCGATCGGTACTCACCGGAGGGACCGCAGACGTTCGGATACAATTAGCGTCTCTTAGCAAAGACAATGACGTCGACTTTGCTAAGTATCAAGACAATTACTCTACACATACACACACACTACACTAGGTACCTGACTGTACCATGCCAATGATCATAGTTGTCGAGGCATTAACGCAATAAAAAAAAAATATTGTCAAATATTAGAAACGTCAATATGACAAAACGCAACACGTAATACACATTTTTTTCACGACTGACCTGACTTTTAGAGGTGGCCTGAAAAATGTATTATATTTTAGCAAAATTTTGGAATACGTTTAAGTCGTAGAACAATTTTAAAAATGGTTTTCGATACATATTTGAGTCCTCTACAAATAGTTTCCCATGACTTTTGGTGTAAAATAATTAGGGAAGCAGGAATTCAACAATTTAGAATTTCCCATTGAGTTTCCTATGGCCCGTTGACGATTCACCACCCTGTACATATATATATATATATATATATATATATATATATTATATATATATATAATATGTGTTGTGTGTGAGATTATTGGATGGATTGATATTTATTTCAATGAACTATCAATAAATGTTAGCTGTTGTGTTTGATAAAATATATCTTATATTGAGCTACTTTTTCGTCGTTTTTGCCTCACATAGTATAGAAGACACAAAAGCAACACTTTATTCATTGCATTTTTATATAATAATTAGGTCTTTGTTCCATTTTAAATATATTTCAAATAGTAAACATAAACACTCCACAAAAGTAAGGTTAAAGTTCAAGTTAAAATGTCAACAATGTCAAAATTCATCCGATTTTCGTGCAAAAATTAAAATATTTTTAACTTCTTCCGATGACTTTTAATTTCGTACGAAAATCCCACCTGTCATTTTTCTACCAATGAAATTCGCTGAAATTTATATCGTATCATCGTACCGTCGGATATCGGACCTGTGAAAATCCACTAAGTAGATCCTTTTTATTATACATAAAATTATTAGTAGGTCCTAACAAGTATAATGTCACTGTCAGATTCTATTTAAACGATTTAATTTTCTACTTTACAATTTTATACCGAAACTAAAAATCGTTGATTAATTTGAGTTAAAATATGTCTCAAGCAAAAAAATTACCACAGTATTTCGCTGCAGTATGCGTTTGTATAGGAGCCTGGGGTACAGGCACAGCCATTGCCTGGACGTCAAATATAACCGAAGAACTTAAGAAAGGAGAGCTTAATAACTTAAAAATTGGAAATGATCAATTAGGATGGATAGGTTCTTTAATGACACTTGGAGCTATGTGCATGTGCTTTCCAATCGGATGGCTAGCAGATAAATTAGGAAGAAAACCTACTGTCCTGTTAACAATAGTGCCATTTAGTGTAGGCTGGTTAATGATTATATTTGGCAATAAAATAGCATTAATATACGTTGCTAGATTTTTGATTGGAGTAGCTGGAGGCAGTTTTTGTGTAACAGCACCAATGTACACGAGTGAAATAGCACAAACTGAAATACGTGGAACGTTAGGTACTTTCTTTCAATTATTCATCACAATTGGCATATTGTATTGTGGAGTGTTTGGTTTTGCACTCTCTCTTAAACTTTTTAATTGGGCCTGTTTTGCAGTTCCAATAATTTTTGGTATTCTTTTTGCCTTTCAACCCGAAACACCCATATATGATTTAAGAACTGGCAAACCTGAAAAAGCAGAAAGATCGTTCAACAAGTTGAGAGGAAAAGATTATGATCACACTGGAGAAGTAAACATTATTTTGGCAGATATCGAAAATGAAAAAAAGATGATAAGCTTTATGGAAGCCATGAAAACAAAAGCGGCAAAAAAATCAACTCTAATATGCTTTATGTTAATGTTTTACCAGCAACTAAGTGGTATAAATGCTGTCATGTTTTATTCTCAAGACATTTTTCATTCTGCTGGATCTACTTTAAAGGATTCGTATTGTGTAATAATATTACAATTTATTCAAGTTCTCGCTACAGTAGTTTCCGCTTGGGCTGTCGATAGATTTGGAAGAAAAATACTTTTAATGATATCAGCTGGATTTATGTCTTTCTCCACTGGACTTCTTGGAATATTCTTCTCTCTTAAAGATCACAAAGTAGTAACTGAAGATGGTATTAAATCTATTGGATTTATACCGATTTTTTCTTTGACTATATTTATTATAGCATTTTCACTGGGATTTGGACCTATACCTTGGTTGGCTTCTTCTGAAATGTTTTCTCCTGAAATTAAGTCAAAATGTAGTTCGGCAGCTGCGACATTTAATTGGTTTTTGGCATTTTTGGTTACGAAATTTTATTTTGTTCTAGCACAGGGTTTAGGAACCGATGTTACTTTTTATATATTTACAATAATTTCTGCTACCGCTGTATTTTTTGTCCTGTTCATTATACCGGAAACTAAAGGAAAAACATTTGCTGAAATTCAACACGAACTAGGATCGTAATAATGTAATATGTAATCTGTTATTGTGTCTATAATTTATTACAGTTTAAATTAAAAGTATACAATATTTGGTAAATATATTTATTTTTTTTAATTTCATATTATTGTTTGGTCTCCCAGGGTCGTATCCAAAAGTACTTGATACTGGACTACACAAAAACATGTAAGCAGGTACAATAAAATACTGCACTTACGTTCCACTGAATGTGCCATTTGTTTGAATTAACAGATAAGAATTATTTACGAAAACTGTCAATGAAATTTGATTTGATAAAGAAGTAGGTAGTTAAATGTTTTGTATGTATATGCGACTCAAGTTTAATTTAGAATGAAATAAAAGCTTTTATTATCAATATACAATCAATATACTAAAGACATTCCAATAGACGAATGAACATTAATGCAAGGTAACTTTATTGCACTTTTAAATCAATCCAAAAAATCACATAAAGTATTCTATGAAGCACCAGGCTTTGGAACTAAAAATTATGGCCTAGCCAGACGATATGTCGATATATTAACATATTTTTAGAGAAAGAGAAAGTAAACATATTTCTCTAATTTTATTATTTCATACAAACGTGAATAAAATCATTCTTTAGTGGACTATTTTATGACAAGAAAAAATAAATACGTTAATTTTGAGACTACAAGATAATAGTGAGACTGTAAGCTAACAACAAGTTGTTTGAACTGGGCATAGAAGTAAGATGCAAAAAAACTAAAAATTAATTAAAATCACAAAAAATCAAATGGTGGAAGTTAACAGAAGAAATACTCTGCAAAACCCTCAAAAAAGAAATTTGAGTAGAAAGAAGTTGCGGTGGCCAAGCGAAGCCTAATAAAAAATAGCAGAAAAGAAAAAATCTATAAGAGTGACAGGAGAATAAGTCTGATATAGAGCTTTACAATTATTTTAACGAAAAACAAAACCAAATTAGCCGTAGCTACAGATCTTAATGTCAGGGAGGCTGAAGGAGAGTTATGTAGAATATTCCAACATACATAGAACAAAGAAAGCAAAATATTTTAACTATCATAAAAATCATTGAAAAATGAATTTGACAGTTTACTCAACAAATAAATTGACAAAAATAACTAATTCTTTTAACTAATTTAAACAATGGCCACCAAACTCAGGTAGTCTCTCTAGAGAAGTGTGGAGATTACTAGGGAAGGCAGAGCAGGTTGCTAACATATTTGTTTACTAACTACTAACTATGATAGTGGGACAAATAAATGGAGAAGCGGTATCTTTATACATACTAATGCTATATATAGACCTTGTAGGCCTTAACTAAAATTTATCTTTCTTAACTATCTTCTATCCATAACCCTTTTCTTGCAATTTTCGATTTTTTTACTTTTCAATTTTCTGTAATTATCTTCATCATCATGCTCAAACACATCAATTTAAAATTTGATGTAGGTACTTATCTGAAATTATCCCAGGTGAGAAAGCAATATATTTGAACTCTTATTTAAAAATCATTAGAAGAGTAAGATACTCAGAATCTCAGATTGAGCAATCAGTCAACCTCATCGATTCTGCGGAAGCCAAATATTCGACTGAATCTAATTAGAAAAACTGCTCATCATTTCTTCGTATAGCCACTTATATAAGAACTATTAGGACTTGAAAATACCTTAACGAATTAACACAGAAGGTCTCGAATATAAAATGGGATATACTTGGTCTGTATGAAAATCGCCTACCAGGAGAACTATCGTCTATAAAATATTTTGTTATAGGCATGGGTTTAACCAAAAAAACTCCTTAGTTAATGATCACATATGCGGTATAGAGCTGCCTAGAAAGTAACAAAGTTCTGTGCGGTCTCAAATAGAGTTATATCTCGTCATCGCTTTACGCAGCAGACATAACTTACAGAAAATACACGAACATGCACGGAAATGCTTGCAATGCTTTTTTTAAACAACCTAAACAACGTAAACATGGACATGCATAGCCCAGACAAGACAATTTAAAACGAAATTGACTACATATTCTCCAATAACAAAACATATGCACCGACGAAACTATACTAAACAAATTTTATATCAGAACTGACCTCAGATTTCTGAAGCGAATAATAAATTACAGACGATAGTAGAACGAAATAAACTTATCAAACAACTTACTCAAAAACAATCTGAATACCAAAAAGAGCTGGGCAGGAGACTAAAATCAATAGAGGCACTGAAACAAATAGATATAAATGGACTAGCAACAAAGTAAAATAATCGTAATAACGTCCTTTAAGAACATAATATTGTTACATTTGCTGTCTGATTCACATCCCAAGTAAACATTATGGACTAACGGTAACCGAGTCTTCTCTAGAAATCCGACGAGCAGCTAGCTGTGTGACGTCATCAAAGGATCCCGTTGTCATTGTCTCTAGTTTCTACAGAAAACTTCAACAATGTTTATATTGTTTAGAAAAATGATATAAATATAAACGAATTTAGATTTTGATTCAGTCTTAATAATAAACTTGTACTGTTAAGTCTAAAATAAATTATTGTTGCTAAATAAGTTAATATTGAGTTTTTAGTGAATGAGAATAAGTGTAGAAGACTATAATAAAATAAAATAAGTGGAATTAAAGATTAAATAAAGTATTATAACATGTTATTAATAATTTAAAAGGCAGTTAATAAAACACCATGAAAGCATTTTAATATGCTCAAACACGAAAACAACCAAAATATCTAAACTCCAACCTAATAGAATTAAATTACTCCAAGAAAGATGAGACAGAACAGATCGAACTTCGGACAGCTTCAAAAGGTTAAACAAGAACGTCAAAAGACATATTAGCAACGATCATAGAAATTATACTAACTACGAGATAACTGCAAAAAAGCACTAAAATAAAAAACTGAACAACAACGTACTGAACGATCTATAATTAACACCAGCTCAGAAGAAATGACGAAATAACCAGCTCTGAAATAAGAATGGCCTAAACCAACTAAAAAATGATAAAAGTCCGAAAGAGAATAACATAACGGTTGAAATGTTGAACACTGGAATCAAAAACATAAAACAAGCATTAACATTTTATTTAATAAAGTAATCTATACGAGTCCATTCTACTATTCGAGAAATGAGACTAAGCTATCACTGAGAATGCTGCATAAATTTTGATTATTATATAAGTTTCACATTAATATACTTATAGTTAGAGTGCTTGTCAGCAAAAAAGTTTAGGATAGATACTCTCTTCCAAATTTTGGGTATCACTTTCTTAAGCAGAGTCTGACACGATTTCCCTTTGTGACTCTTTTTGATTCTAGCGCGCTTTCCCTGTAATTTTCCCGAAAATTTTTACCCGTCAGATAGAAAATCGGAAAACAAGTTTCGTCAGATAATATAATCATTTAATTAGATAGCTTGAAAATAATATGAAAAACACAAAAATAAAATTGTCTGATGATAAATATAGATATTCAGCGCGTCTGACGACTCCAATGTATCGGAAAAACTAGTGTGACGAAATTCATAGATATCCAGCTAATTTTTTAGGATGCTTTCATTAACAGCAGCAAAAACTACTTTTCATATTGTCTGACGAAACTTGTTTTCCGATTTTTCCATGTTATGGGCGAAAATTTTCAGGAAAATTAAAGGGAAAACGCCCCAAAACCAAAACAAGTCACAGAGGGAAATTGTGTTAGTCTCGGCCTAATGAATGATTGAATATAGTATATATCCTAAATTTTGCCGACGGCCACTTTAACTACTAGTTCAAGCTGTATAGTAGAGACAAAATGAATGATTTTTAGCATTAATTAGTGAATTTTTGAAGCGAACTCCGCGTTATTAAGAGTAATAAATTGATATAACATTGAATGCTCAAATAAATGAACTTTGATCAATTGACAGGCAGATATCGAGCACAGGTTTTTTAATTAAATCTTGCCCAAGTACTTTTGCTTCCTAGAGCATCTTCAGAGGCATTTCGTCAATTTTGGCGTATCCAACAATTATAGAATGTCATAAACATAAAAATTAAAATTAAGAGTAATGCCTGGAGTAATCTTCAGGTGCTTACAATTTCAAACTATTGGTTATAATTTTTTATGGAACTTTAAATGTGCAAAAAACGGGGTCTATTGATTATTTTTTATTTTTATTGCATTGTATCAAATCAACATCTTAGGGTAAAATGAGTAGAATAATGAAGCTACATAAAAAAAGCTTTAATTTGAGCTATGCTATATTAAATTTGACCTAATAGTTTATGCAAAATTAATTTTTATTTATTTTTGAAATAACTTTTTTAAAAACTATTTTTTTATGCTAAAATCATTATATTGTAGCTCTTTTAATTACAAATCGATTAAGGCTTCGTAAGATCCCATCGGCCAATTCGTTTTTGAGATACATTTGTTTATACATATTCTTAAAAGTTTATACATTTTGCAGAACCAGAACTTTTTTTTTAAAGATAGAGATTTACTTCTAAACGTATTCTCTTCTTGATCCAATATATTTTTATGTAGAAATAAAAATATTTACTTAAAAAATGTTTCAACCTCTTTTTAAAAAAAGGATGGAAATCTTATTCTTATTCTAATTCTCGGTTTATTATATTTTTATGAAGAAATAAAAGTATTTACTTAAAAATTTTTTAATCCCTTATTTATTGCTTTGAGGTATTTCTAAAAACCTTTATTTAAAGTTAAAAACATAAGTAAATTTGACTGTTTTTTCGAGTAGCCGAATTGGCTTTGTGGTGGAGAACTCATCTCGTGTGGGCCTAGTGAGGAAAAACCTAATTAGGGACTTCAAATCCGCAAGGTTTGCAAAAATTTATCATATCTCCGTTAAATATGGACCAATTTCGCTCTTTTTTATCTGGGTAGCAAAATATTTTGGAAACATTGGCGATATTTTTTTTGCTGCAATTAAAAAGTTGGTGATTATTAAAATTTATTTTTAAATTACTCTTAATTATCTTTATTTTCCATATGTTATACCTATTCTTTTATACTCTTTAAATAAATTTTTTTTAATATTACAAGAACTTATTAGTAAAAAGACGA